AATCATGCAATCAGCTGTTGGTGTCATTTCATCCACTTACTCATTCCTTCACCTGTTCTGCTTCGTTGTCCTGTCGATGGTTTCATCGCTTCCTGTACAGTAGGTGATGAACACTGTAACACCGGCGCCTCCGTCGTCATTAAACAGCAGTGTAGCAGCTCGTCGCTAACCTCTCCCTCAAAGTAAACTTTTTGAAATTTTTTTTTCTGATTCCCTTTACAGAAAGAAACATTGCTTTTATCGACTACTTCCCTTTTTTGTTCCAGATGGAATGCACTCTGCATATACTTTTCCATTCATTCCGCTTATAAATGCCTAATTTTCGACTTCACCACCTCCGACAATACATGAAAGAGCGTTCAGGCGATAAAAGGGTTCTGAAGTAGGCGAAGAAGTTACTCGACTTGCAAGAGACTCGTCCTACTGATAATTATTTTGCAATTAGCTGTGGGCCCGCCCCTTATACTACCGTCGCATGCATTTAAGGAACATTTCACAGTCACGAGGCAATTTTGCTTTCTGGGAGCCTTTTACACTTTAAAAGGCATCTAATAGTTCGTTTGTCCTGATTGGTTTTTCGATTTTCACAGCTCTTGATCCTTTGTGGATTGCGTGGTTACTGCCTTACTCCTTGAGTAAACCGACTTCTTATCAATCAAGACGGCCTTGTTCTGTGGCGAGTAATGGACAGGGCAACTAATAATCCTTTTTTACACTGTGCAGATGTTTCGAGGGTGACAAAGAGAAGTGTGCACGGTACTGGCCTGAGGACTCGGTACAGACGTTTAATTCGGAGACCTGTAGTGTGGAGGTAAAGAAGGAGGGCGAGGAGACCTTCGGCAATGTGATACGTCGTCAGTTGAAAATCCATCCCTCGAGTGAAACATCGGTAAGTAGAGCCTACAACAATACCCAATTGAGTGATGTGGAGTTTAATTACAAGGGTTCATTTAATACATCCATTTAGCCGTGGACTGTCACCCAGTTCCATTTTATGGGTTGGAGTGACTACGGCGTTCCCGATATGGAATCGTTCTACAGCCTTATCACCATGCAAAACAACTTTTTGGCGACACACCACGTGGGCGACGAGTATGGTCCGACTGTCGTGCATTGCAGGTGAGTTGAATGACTTCCTGACAAGATCTGTGATCAGCATCAGAACCGAACGTAGTGTGGGGCAGGCATCAACACTATGAGCAAACACAGAGTGCAGTGGAGCTGGTTGTTTTTATGCTTCCACTTGTAGTGCTGGTGTGGGTCGCACGGGCACGTTTATTGCAGCTCGTTTCCTCCTCGATCGTCTACGAAATAATCCGCAGAATGTGGACATCGTTGGCACTGTTCTGGCGACGCGGAGATGGCGTGCAGACTTGGTGTATGTTTCGGTGAGTTATCATTTTCTATCTCTCCTTCATGCTTCACCAATGCCCGAATACTCGCACTCTCTTTCCTTTGCTATCTTTTCCAGTCGCAACTACAATTCCTGTACAGCGTCATTAACTTTCATCTCGAAAAGAAGGATTTGGACCAAAAACCATCTGCACCAAAGTGAGCCAGTAAGACAATTGTTCTTATCGTTGCTATTTCTTTGCTTAACACCTGAACTTCGACGTGGTAGCTTAATAAGAGCGAGTGGAGTTGCATACAAGTTCAGATGTTTATAAAGTGCAGCGAATTCGTCAGAAATGTTAGCCGACTACATTAAAGGCATTCTCTTCTGCAGTTGAATTTTCGCCAGCTTTTGCAGAGTATTAGAATGCTGAAATGCCTCGTCTGTAACATGGAGAGGGCTGCAAGTCGTCTCCCGAATTCTCTCTTAGTTGATAGCACTATTTTATTGAGCCCTTCATTTGTGCTTTCCGAGCACTCGCAGCTCTCAATTCTTATTATTTAGGGGCCTGAATTTTTATGTAGCACCTATGAAGCTGAATTACTCTTATGTGTCCCTCTGTTTCCTAGTCGGTTAGTCGATTTAGTTGTTTTATTGCTGTAAGATAGAAGATCGGCAAAGAACCTGCGCCTCGATGTGCGAACGGGAAGACTAGACAAGTCACACATTTGCCTCGGTCCAACCAGGAGTGCGTGATTTCCTGTGTAGTGTCATGGTGAGAGGAATATAGGTGGAGGGGTGGAATGTGGGAAGGAGTTTTGCCCTCTAAACGAACACATATTCTTTTTTATTGAGTTGATCAATCTTATGACTGAAGCAGCAAATACAAGACTGGAGGAAATCAAAATGGCACTCATAAATGTCGTATCGCCACCTATCCCGTCAAAGAGACATGTTTCGTGCATAATTGAAACAAGTGATTGCTTCATTTGCGTCTTAATAGAAGTGTTACGCTTCCCTCTTGTTTTTAGCTAAGAAAATTTCCACCTGCACGAGTGGAAACGGGTAGTCAGGAGATTGTGTGCTACTTTGGATCGCTTTCATCACCAGATTTTGAACAATTTTTTTTTTGGTTTACTGTGTTTACTATCCACAAATTACAAAGATTGCTGCAATGAGTGATCAAGTGCAATGATTTCAGCTTTCTCCCCTTTCATCTCCATCAATGCACCTGAGGAATGGGGAAATCACGGAATGGAATGCCAAATAACTTTGAAATCCATCTTCCCCTTAGTGGCCAAGGGAGTATTCTGTCTTACCTTTAGAAATGTGTTAATAGAATGGCAGAAAGTGTTTGTAAGTCCTGGTGGATGAAGAATAGTGGCTTGCATTACAGAGACTCGCTTGTTAGTGGTAAAAAGCAACTGTCGTCCTCATGACACGCTTAGCACGTCGTTTGTTCGATACAAATTTTCAGCGTGGAGAACCGTGTTAGCTGTGCATTGTGCGTTTGCTTCGTTGAGTACCTCTTGGCACCCCTTCGCAAATGCGTCTGTGACCAACATTGATGCCTGTACGTATAAGAATTCGACGTAACTTATCTGTCGTGGTGGGTTAACATCAGCAGAACTGAACCCATCACTTTAAAACGATGTTGGAGGCAGTCTCTGCATCACATTAATTGTGAGCATTTCGAACTCCGTGTGTACATCAGAGGGGCGCATGGATACCTGCTGAGTTCACTGAGAGCGAAAGGTGGAGATAATCGAATTGTGAAATTCGCATTGGAGCATCCACTTGTGCAACCGAAAGCAAATTCTCTCTTCAAATCTTGCTTGCCTAGGATCACATCATTAACCGCACAGTCAGGGATAGTAGCCAACCAGCACGTGAAAAACAGTATTTTTTGGCTTGTTGAGAGCGCACAGCTGGAATCCTTCACACTAACTCCTTCCATCTACAGACATTGTAATGCCTGCAGTTTGTTCTTTCTTCATTGCTGTTTTTCAGAAATGTGCGGTGGAATCCTTGAGCGTTCATAACATCTAAAATTTTTAACTGTGAGGTTTGCATCGGAGTGTCATCACGAACAGTTGTTCGCCCTCGGCCATGCGAGTTATTCCATATGTGAGCAGCGCAAAATTTTCCTGATGAATGCACTAATGTGCATGCCCTTCGGCATTTCACGCAAGATTTGTTGGTGGCCCCACAATGCGGCTACCACCACAGCATCAATGATGAAAGGCAGCGATATTTGAATGAGCCAGCTAGAACTGGCATGGTGCTTTCCTCCTTTACCACCACTTATCGGAACGAATATTAGTAGAATGCGTTGGTACAAATTCAAAACTTTGAGTAAGTGAGAAGCGTTACAGAGTTATGATGGAGTTGAGTGTTAACCGCCCTTCCTCCTCGGAATATTCCATGCTATCACCTAGTGAAGGGCATGAAGAGCCACCCCACCTCCTAGTTCGAAAGCGCAAATGCTGCTTGACGCAAATCAAGGCAGTGTCGAGGACACACAAACCTAAAAAGAGCTAATAGTTTGAATTAAAGGACTCAATGGGGAAAAGTAACATCAAGGTTAAGACGATGTTAAGGCGATTTCGAGGAAAATGGTGCAAAATTTGTGGCCGTTCTTGGGATGAAGACTGGAGCCTGGGAACAACTTTGAAAAATGTTTTGCGCGAAACAGTCCCATCGTACAAATACCCTTGTGTTTGACATTTCACAAGAATTCAAACGAAACAATAAAGGCATCTTTAAAAAACAGAATCGGCAGTTAAAAGCATTTCATTATTTGGCCTGTAATTGAGGCTATAATTCATATAAAAATTGTGCTTAGAAGTGAAACACATTTTAAAATTTGCACTGACGGATGCAAGGCTTCATTTGTACCTATTCTGTACTCTGCGAAGGTTTCTTACGTACAATCACAAAATATTATCTTTAAAATAGTGCTAACAGCCAATCACGACTGTCGCGGGCTTTTCTAACTTGGCACCGATTGTCTTTCAGCGCCGTCTATCCAACACAACTACAGCTATTCAAAATTAGGTAAAGTTAATAAACAAAGAATACAAATGAATATGATTTGGGTGCAAGAATAAGCACAATGCACGGAGAGGGTTTTGCACCTGTTCGACTTAAAAACTTCCCGATCAGTGTCAGTGGGGTAACTAAAACTCCGCCACCAGAATACAAGACCAGCATCAAGGAGATGGACCTCTCTGCGGTTTAAGAGAGTGGTGCTCTTGCGATTAAGAAAAATCTACATTTTGTAAAGTATTTGAGCAAGTATACAACACCATTAGGAGCAGCACTGTTTTGTTCAGCTTAGTAAGCTATGCAAAGGGAACGACTCATTTTTACTAATAAACTAAATTTGGCAATCGAATTTCGTGCCTGCAAGTAGAGACGCAACGATAAATTTTCGGCCGATCAGGTGGTGCGTCGAGGCTTCCCATTCGGTAGAAGAAGGCGCCAATTTGGGCTGAAGGCATGCATTGTAGGAGGGTAAGAAGTGATTCGGCCTTGGCTTTGGTCAGAAGGTCAGCTCAGGCGTACAAGAGCAAGGCAACAAGCAGAGTAATCGGTAGAAATTAGGTGGTCACATAAATAAGGGCCACATGGGGTAGTAGTAAGAGCATTCTGAATGAAAATTTGACTGACCGACAGAGGAAATGCACAATCAAGGAGTTTCTTTTTAGTAGTGCAGAGTTAACTCGTGTGTTCAAGTGCAATCCCATCCCTTCTCGACACTGTCGTCTGAGTACTGTCTAATGGACTTTTCAGGAGTTGGTCTTCCTTAGGGGACTTTAGTAGGCATAATGTTACAAGGTAAAATGGGTAGCGTGCAGAACAACAGTGCAGTTTGTTTACCCTCTCCACGCAGTTAGATCTGCTGCTTCCTTTCGCATTGTGTTTGTGCTCAACTCTCTCCTTGGACCTATGAAAAACATTTGTGAAGTTCGTATGCATTGACAGAACCTTTAAAAGGATAAGTTAAGTTCCTTAATAGGCTGTAAAAAGGGATGTGGATGTAGTGTTTCAGATGGGTGTGCACGTTACACCAGAGAACTAAGTGAGCCGCAGGTACTCTAGCACGGTCTAAAGGGGACAGTTTAAAAGAACTTGATGCTCAATATTCCATGTTCATTTATGAACTTTTGCATAGACCAAGTTCTCTGGTTGACAAATTTGCCATTCTTAAGCATCTTTAAGTGCGGCGTTTTAAAGAAAGTTAGAAACACAAACCAAGCATTTTTTTGGGAGGAGGGAGATGAAGGTAGGCCTTTGATCCATCTGCCATTTACAATGACAGTTCACCCATCATTAGCTTCCCACCGTTTTAATTTTGACTCGAAAAGTCCTTAAGAACAAATGTAGTTGCGAGGCAGTGAAAATGGGAGAGGAAAAATGTACATGACGATTCGCACGTGCGTCTAAATTTCGCAAATGCACTGCCAGGAAGATGTTTTGGAGCGTAAGTTTTTTAAACTGTTACATGGGGTTTGTCTGAGTCATATTCCTGTCCTAAATCCATTAAATCGGCATAACACAAGCACACTGTGCAGTGTCCACTAGGCAGAAGAACGCATTAAGGTGAGCCGACCGGAATTGGACCACGGCACAGCTTGAAGGCCATCCCACGAGTACAAGGGTAAGAATAAAGCGAAGTAACTGCCACACATCAGATGTTCACATAAACCAAGCATTACATAGCCCCGCTCCTCTTTGAATAACGTCCACGGCGCTCTCCCCATTAGTACACCACCTGTCCTAATCATCAGCTGCTAGTGAGACGTCTCAGCAACTTCAAGGGGATTTGAAGATAGCTTTTGCTGAAGAACAGAAATCAAGGTCGCATACACCTGTCGACCATCAGTTGTTTTCAGAACTAGACACTAAAACAATGGCCCAAAACAGATTTTTAACAGGAAAGATGGGACCAAGCACGGTCCCGTATGTATGACGAACCGCAGTAGTGTCAAATCCGAAATCCGGCGCGAAATTTCTATTGTGGAGAATTCAGACACTCTTCCGCCTGGCGAATATACACTTCCGCCGCTCTGTTAATATATGTCACAAAAGGTGGATGCCAGAATGGAAAGTTGTTAAAAATAGTCGGGCTTGATTTCTGCTGCCACCAGCATAGCGTCCCAAGACTTCCTCCATTAGACAGAAGAAGGCATCGAGGGAGAGACATAGTGTAGCCAGCA